CGGGGCAGCCAACCACTAGTGCTGCACTCAAAGATGCGACAAGAACGATTCTGCTGGAGCTGTTCGTGCTCGTAATTCCGCTGGTGCGGTGTGTTTCAGTGTGGGACAGCAGCTGGACTCAATTGTCTTCTCATCGTCCCCGCACGCCAATTAGTGCCAGCCAGTCACTCACGACTCAGTGCAGCGTGCATGCATGTTTTCATAGTATTTACATATTCCGCGAGCTTCATCCCTCACATTCCTCCAGTGCAGTGCATTGAGTGTGCCAGACGGAGGCAACAGACTGCACCCGAACAACCAACCAACCAACCAACCGACTTTACACACTGACTATGAGCTGCCGCTGCAGCTGCATACGAGTGAATGAGAGTGCTTTTCGAGTGCGCGTGAGGGTGGCACATGGCACACAGCAGAAAGAACACAGACGAATTCATACACCACCAACACCACAAAACAACACTTCGGAGTAAGTGAAGGAAGGAAGGAAAGAATAAAGAGAAATGGAGAAATGGTGAAATGGAGAAAAGGAGAAGGCATCGGCATCGGCGGCGGCGGTAGACAACAAAAAGAGCGACCAATCGCTCATGAAGCTGCTGGCGCCCTTGATAATGACGCCAGCCGCAGACAAAACATGGCCACCGATAGCAGCAGCAGTAAAGAAGAAGACAGAGACGCCGACGTAGGCCACGAGCTGCCGTCGTTGCTGCTGCCGCCGGGCCGCAAATTGCAATTCATTACCTCGTCGCTCGTCGGTGCATCGGTGTGTGATTTACAATTCAAATGGCATTGGGGTTTATTGTCTGTGTGCTGCTGTTGCTGCTTCAGCTTGTGTGTTGCTTGCTTGCCTGCCTGCAGTAATGGCAAATACAGAGGAGAGAGAGAGGAGGAGAGCGCAATGTTTTGCTCTCTTGTCTTATATTAGTGTGTGTCTGCGCGATTAATGATATAATGATAATGATCCCGCGCAAAGGCACAGTCTGTGTGCTTGTGCATGTGTATGTGTTCCAGCAGGCCAAAAACGGTGCACTCAGTGGGCAACACTGCAAAGTAGTCCATTCATGGCTAAAAAGCTGTACTTCGGTGGAAAGTAGATCTGAAAGACTGACACCGCCACAACATACACACACGCTGGACTGATACGAGTGGTGAAAGTGGAGAAAGAAAGAAAGAAGGGGGCAAGCGATGAAAGGAAAAGGAAAGCAAGAGAGGTACTTGCAATATTTAAATGTCGATTAGAGACAGGAGCAGAAGAAAAGAACAGGATAGGATAGGAAAGGCACCGACCAGTGAATGTGAATGGGTGAGAGCACCGAGTGAAGAACAGAGTGAAGATGGTGATAACAATGCGCGCTGGCCCGTTCTTCAAGTCAAGTGCTCTCAATGCAAATCGCCCCAGTGCGCCAACGCTGCTGCTGCTGATGCTCCTCTGCTGATGCTGATGATGATGCTGCTGATGCTGCCATTGGCTCCAGCCTCCTTGGCTTTCATTGTGCGCCATTGTATTTTGGTCTGTCGATTACGATGGCGGCGACGGCTGTGCTGGGCTCCCACTCCGACTCCGACGACCATCATCTCCTGCAGCCTCCTCCTCCTTCACCGGCGCCATCATCTCCTCTTCTTCTTCTTCTTTAGCACCGCCACCATCATCATCTTCTTCCTCTTCTGCTTCGGTTCAAGCTGAATCATTAATTTGTAAACATTTCGTCCCTAATCTAAGCAGAATTCTCCTGATCAGCACTTTCAAAGTCGGCTTCAAGTCCAATAAGATCAGGTCGCATAAGAAGCCGTAGTAGGCTTTCATGTGCACTTGGAACTGAAATTGAAAATAAGCAAATTACGGCACGCACATTAATACGGGGATCGAGGGCAAAGAAGAAGAGGAAAAAGAAGAAGAAATGAAAGAGAAAGAATAAGAATAGAAAAGAAGAAGTAGTATATCTGGCTGATTGCCGTCTTTGCTGCTGTTGCCGTATGGGCCCCGCACTCTACATTACAGCTGCAGTTGCAGCTGTAGCAGGTCATAACATGGCATCAGCAGCGACGGCTCATCGGCAGCTAACGACGGGCGCAATGGCAGCCAATGACAAAGTGGCAGACAGAGAAAGTGAGAGCGAGCGCGTGAAAGTGAGAAAGCGAGAAAGCGAGAAAGAGTGAGGCAGCAGGCAAACAAACAAACCTTGTCGAGGGGAAGCTTGCTAATGTTATGTAGGATCAGGATTAGAATGGTGTTCCAGTTCTCGCGGTGGTACTCATTCTCAATCTCGTAGTAGCACTTCAGTGCCTTCGAGCAAGTCCTAATTGGGGGGAAGGCAAACAAAGGAGAGAAAGTGAGAAAAATGGGGTGCACAATGGTTAGCTGTAACTCTTAGCGGCAGTTAGAGGCGCGCAAATGGCTCTGCTCTATTCGGCAGCTGCCAAATAGAGGCGGCAGTAAATCGAATGCCAAGGCAAACGACCGTGCCGCCGCCGCCAGCAGGCAACTAGGGGACACATTGCAATACCGAAAACTACTAACCCAATAAGCTCCAGTTCGATCTCTTCCCAGCACAGCTGGCGGCCCGAGTCCACGTAGAGGCTGAAGAAGATGCGTATGGCACTGAGGAGGCTTTTGATTTCCTGCGCAGAGAGGCAGCCCAGGCTGTCGGCGAGCAGCACCTTCGTCTTTGATTTGTCCAAGTGCAGCCGATTGGCCTGCTCAAAGACCGCCACCAGAAACTGGCCCAGTCGCAGCAGCGCCGCCGTGCTCATGTGCACGTACATGCCGCTGTGGGAGGAGGAGGAGGAGGAAGAGTAAGCTGGGCCGTTGCTGTCGCCTCCGGGGCCGCCACCGCTGCTTCCCACCGAGTTCATTCGCGTCATGCCAACCGAATTAGCATTGACAGCAGCAGTTGAGGCCGAGACAGCCGACCCGCTAAGCGTGGAGCTGCGAGAGCCTCGTCCGACCGCATAGCTCTGCACAATGTTCCGCTCCTCCAGCTCCCGCTCCAGCTCGCCCAGTATCTCCGTGTCCTGCTTGCGACTGGCGGACGGGTAGAAGACGATGTTGTCGATCGCCTGGATCAGGTCGAGCTGCACCAGAAACTTCACCTTCAGGCGCTCCAGGTCGCCGCGGGAGAGGCTGGACTGGCCGGCGGCGGCCGCTGCGGCACAGGCCGCCTCCAGCAGCTCCGTCGGGCGGACAATGTCGTAGATGCGCTCAATGAACTCGATGGTCATCGTCCAGGTGGGCGGATCGTACTTCACGCCGCAGCTAATGACCAGGTTCTCAAAACAGTTGATGCCCGACCGGGCCAGCTGCTCGCTGTCCTGCTGCACGCACCAGAAGAGCTGCGAGTAGACGTCCTTGAGGAGGAAGGCGCCCAGCATGTCGTAGTACTGCGTGAAGACGTCCACAATCGAGTAGAGGGCGTGATTGCAGGTGGTGGCCATCCACTCGTTCTTCTCCGACTGCTGTCCGGGCAGCTTGAGGCTGTCGAAGATGCGAAAGATGATCTTGAAGAGGTCCGCCCACCAGTTCTCGCGAAAGGTCGCCCCGTGCGACTTGATGATCTCAAACATGACGGTGAGGGCGCGGGTGCGCACGTCGAGCTTGCAGATGTTGACGATGCAGCTCAGCTCAAAGAGAATGGGCAGCCACCCTCTCACCCACACGCGGTCGTCCTCGCTCGCCAGAAAGCCATTGTTTTTGTCCTCAATGTTGAACTCCTTAAAGTACTGCGGCTGCTCGGCGACGTAGCGCGCACAGGCGCGAATCAACCGAATCGCCTCCATGCTCGTGTCGGGAAAGGCCTGGTTGCAACCAAACTCCGACAGGCACTTGACCGCGTCCTGGAAGGAGTCAATCATCGAGATGAAGTTGCTCTCGTAGATGTTGTTGAAGATGTTGCAGGTCGTCTGGAAGGCGAGGTCAAAGATGTACGAGTCGTTCTCGGAGGCGGCGATGCGAAAGACGCTGAAGATGTTCTTCCAGCCCGACTTGATGTTGCTCGCCTGCGAGTTGACCATCTGGGCGATGCACCGGACCACCATGTCGCGAATGGCAATGGAGGAGTTGAGCTTCATGATGTGCTCAAAGGGCCGGAGAAAGTCCTTCTGAAAGCGAAAGTTGCTAAACTCGCCCTTCTCGATGAACTTCATCGACAGCTGGCGGAGCGAGTCAATGGCGAAGAAGGCGATCTCCTCGTTGGGGTTGCAGCCCACCTTGTTGAAGTGCTCGCCCAGAATCGCCCAGATGCGCGACCACTGCAGCCTGATGCGGCTCATGTTGTAGTAGCTGATCTCCACCAGCTTCTGCAGGCTGTACATGCGCGGGCTGCTGACGTTGGCCAGCTCCTCGCTGGAGACCTTGCAGAGCGCCTTCACAAAGTCCACAATGGCGTTGCCGTCCAGCTTCACCGAGCCGGTGAAGATGCGGTCGACGGCGACGACGACGCTCTGCGAGGACGCCTCGATGATCGACTCGGAGATCCGCGACATCTCCTTCTCCTTGCTGCCGCGGGCCAGCGAGTCCACCGCAAGCGGGACAAAGGACTCCAGCTTGAACTGAAAGCCCCCAAAGGCACTTCCGTTGGAGGAGGAGGCTGCAGCTACCGAGGCCGCCACTGAAGCCGTAGTGTTCATCTGCAGGTGATTGTTGTTGAGCACCTGCGGCTTGACGCCGGTGCCGATCAGCTGGGCGAGCTCCAGCTGCGAGATGCACCGGAGAATGTCCAGCCAGCTCTTGCCCAGGTAGTTGCCGTCCGTGTTCGCCACCATGATCAGCGTCTTGATCGTGTCGAGGTTCTTCGTCTTCATCTCCACGATCGGTCCGTTGGCGTTGAGGAGGGTGAAGCGGGCCAGTGCTTGGACAAAGGCGTCCCGCTCGAGGTCCATCTGGAAGATGCAGGCGATGCGAATGGCGCAGCGCAGCCCGTCCAGGCAGCAGCTGGCAATGTCGGTGTCGTCGCAGTCCTGCAGGCCGACGCTGAAGGCGGAGAGGAAGGAGGTCCAGGCGGTGCGAAACATGGGGCGGACGTGGTCGAGGTGCTTCGCCGAGGTAAATGGGGACTCGACGTGGCTGACGCTCTCCATGAGCGCCTTCGCCGCCGTCGCCATCGTCTCCATCTCCATGTTGTACAGCAGCCGACGGGCCTTCTCGCTGGCCACCTCATTGCCCCGCACCTTCACCTTGTTGTGGTGGCTGCCCCGCATCTTAATCTCGCTCTCGGCAATCTCGTCGTAGATCTGCGACAGGTACTCCTCGGGCAGGTCCTTGCTCTCGTTGATGCCGCGANGTACAGCAGCCGACGGGCCTTCTCGCTGGCCACCTCATTGCCCCGCACCTTCACCTTGTTGTGGTGGCTGCCCCGCATCTTAATCTCGCTCTCGGCAATCTCGTCGTAGATCTGCGACAGGTACTCCTCGGGCAGGTCCTTGCTCTCGTTGATGCCGCGATTCATCTTAATGTAGTCCTCCTTCGTCATCTTCCGCTTCACCTGCGGACTGTGCAGGTCAGTGGTGAGCATGATGATGGAGTAGGCGAGCACGTAGGCGGCGTCGGCGCTGGCGAAGATTCCGGTGTGCATGTTGGTCTGGAAGAAGCGCGAGGCAAACTTCTCCATGAAGCGATCAATCTTCTGCGCCTCGCCGGGCAGGCGGAAGCCCTCGAGGAAGAACCGAAGGGCGACGACAATGTCCTTGCTGGAGAAGTCCATCTGGTCGACGTAGGCGTACATGACCTCCTTGTTGAAGGCGGCAAAGTCGCCCATGTACTCGCCCACCAGCGACTTGTCCAGGCGGTCGGTGGAGTGGAAGAAGTGGGCGATGCTCTCTGCCTTCTCCTCGAGAATGCCGTGGTGCTGCAGGTACTTCAGCCCCTTCTTCGGGTTGATGTTGAACAGGTCAATGCCGCGGTCGATGATGTTCTTCGTCTGCTTCACCTCCTCAAACTTCTCCGGGTTGTCGCTGTCATTGTTCTCATTGTTCAGGTTGTTCAGGCTCACCCTGTCGAGGTTGTTGATCGAGTTGGTCTCGTGCAGGGAATTACTGCCGCCGCCGCTGCCGTCGCCATCTTTTGCCGCCGATGCGTTTGACCCTGCTGTTGCCGTTGCATTGCCCGAATTTTCAATGGTCTGGTCGACCTGCTGCTGCGGATTGACGTACAGGTCGTTGCTCCACTCGACCATGCACTTCAGTATGGACACCAGACACTCGAGGCCCTTGAGGCGCATGCTGCGCTCCTGCGCCGCCGTCACAAAGGTCGAGTGGTCGGAGTGGCCGCCGCCCTGAGCAATGCGCGCCACATCGTTCACCAGGCGGCCGAAGATGTTCTCCGAGGAGAGGTCGCAGTCGTAGTTGACGTAGATGTCCACCACGCTCTGGGCGTCGGCGCAGATTCGCGTCAGCGCCTGAATCACCTTCCACTTGTGCTCAAAGGAGCTACTGACCGTCTCGAGAATGTTGAGGAAGATCTCCTTGAAGAAGACCTCAATCTGCATCTTCAGGTACGTCTTGAACTTCTGAATCAGCGCGAGGAAGATGGCCAGCGACAGCTCGAAGATTTCGGGAATGTTGGAGACGCCGTTCTTGCTGAGGGCGACGCAGAGGTACTGCTTAATGGCCACCGCAAACATGTCACTGTTCTGGAAGACGGGACCGGAGTTTTGGAGAATCTGCAGAATGAGCTGCAGCGAGAGCACCTTGGAGCGCAGCTCGTGCGACTTCATGTCGGAGAGCGTGTCGGAGAGCGGCTTCATGCTGAGCTTGCAGAGGGAGCGAAACACCAGGTAGGCGTCCTTCTGGTAGATGTTATCGAAGACGAGGTGAATGGTGTCATTGCTCTCAAAGGAGTCAGAGGAGATGATGGCAGAGGAGGCGGTGCTCAGACTGGGCGTCCGTGTGGTGGGAGGAGGATTAAACGGTTTCGAAATGGTCGAACTAGTGCTGCTGGGCTGCTGTTGAGACGCTTCCAGGGAGGGCGGTGATGGCAACTGCTCGCTACCACCACCACTATTGCCGCCATTCTCACTATAGCAGACAGTGTTCACTAGATCGGCCACGACGTCCTCCACCGAGTCGCTGGTGGCTTTTCTAATTTTCTCGTACGTGCTTTGCAGGTGGTGCTGGTGCTGCTGATGATCACTGATGGCATTGTTCAACCTGGCTAGTTGATTAGAGGAATGAGACGAGTGAAGAGGAAGAGGTGCTGCTGCTGTGGCTGTTGCTGCTGAAGAGGCCGCTTGAGAATCACCGGTTTTGAAGGAATTATCATTTAAAGTATCACAAGAAGTATTGGGCAGCTGGGAATCAGCAGCAGCAGCAGCAGTGGCACCGCCAGCAGTAGGACCATTTTGTTTTGATTGCTGTAGTTGTGGTTGTTGTTGCCTTGTCGTCGTCGTGGAAAATGACTCCATTCGAGAGAAGATGACATTGAGCATCTGCGTAAGGGTGGCTTTGGCGGTGGTCTGGTTGACCAGGTTCTTGCTGGCCAGGTAGATGTTGTAGCAGGTGCGTACCACCAGGAGAATGCTGCTCTCGTGGACGGCACAGGACTGCGAGGTGACGATGGTGAGCAGCGCCTTGATGATCTGCAGCTGCACATTGTCGTCGGTGGTGGGCCCGGTGAAGCAGTTGCAGATGGAGCTGACGATGGTGTCGATCAGCAGCTGCCCCTCCTCGTACCGACTGTCGTACTTGTTGCCGGTAAAGTGGCCGTAGGCGATCAGCTTCTGAATGCAGTCCAGTGATATGATGACGATCGACTTGGATTTGGAGAGACAGGCCAGCTCAAAAGGAACAAAGTACTTCTCCTCGTCGAAGGTTTTTGACTCCTCTCGGGGCTGAGGCAGCGCCGACGACTGACTTGGCGTGGGCGATGCTGATTCATTTCTGATTTCGGCTACAGAAAAAACAGACCAAATGTCAGCAAAAAAAGGATCATTCCTAAATGATTACACTTACCTAGGGTGCTTTCACACGCCTTCTTCAACTGTTGATTGTAGGACCTCTTGATATCACGATCCGCAAGAATCCTCTCAAGGCCTCTGGTTATGAACATTATCCTTTCCGCATGGAAGGCACCAGCGCTCATCATTCATTCACAACAGCACACGGTTAGTAGTGTTGGTGGTGGTCGTGGTGGTGGCGGTGGGTGGCAGATGAACGTGGAGGAAAGACTGGTAGATTGTGCCTGTCACCTGATTGAATGGCAGCCAGACGCTGTGTGATGTGAGCTGCTGCTGCTGCTTTGCTATAGCATCATCATCATCCTCAATGTTGTAGCTGTACAAATTCAGGCAGACTGAAAGAAGAGGAACCGAAAGTAAACACCAGGCGTAACGGACGTCGCCGGCACTGGTGACCGGGCGCTGGTGATGATGCTGGCGAAGTTGATGCCGCTGATGACGGTAGAGATGAGAAACTTTGATGCTGTTGACGTGCTAAAAGCCTCTATCTTCTTCTGGACACTCTGCGAGGAGGAAGGTGGACAGCTCCTAACCAGCTAGCTAGCTCTGGTCATGCAATAGTCAGGCAACGACGCTATCGGCGTCAGTGGTTGGGCGCTCAGTGGCGTCGGTGGTGGTGGTGGTGGTGGGCAACGCCAGGAGAATAGGCCGCCGCTGCTGCTAATGCTAATGGTAATGATCCTCTGCTTGAAAGACAGTTAGTCTTGGTCGGTGTTGGTTGACAGCAGACGTGGTACAGTGCAGCGGCGGTCTGTGTGTATTTGATGACTGTTACGCCAACACCAGCAAATGATGCACACACACACAACAAACAGTGCCATCACATACACTGTGCACGGACAGAGGGGGAGCTGGTGGGGGCAGCCAAATCAGTCCATCGCACTGTGTCTGCTGCTGGTGCCAAA